GTCAAAGCTCATTAAATATTCTATAATTAGCAATCTCATTTTTATTATGAGACAATTGTCAAACTGTTTCTATTAAAACAATCAGCTTGTGTTAATTAATAATTATAAGTTGTAGCACACTACATGTACATGTAAGTAGCGAGATATTACATGTATGTCTTTATTATGTTAATTCTGCTCCAGCTTCTAAAGTGGTGGCATCAAATTATCATTATCTTGATCAGGATAAATTCCCTGTGAGATATCAAGATTAATTAATAGTTTCAAATAATTATGCTCATATACCCCATCACGTTGTTCATCTGTTATTAATTTCTGTAGTGCTCTGTGGAAAAGATTGTATAAAAATACAATAAAATTATATCATAACTTACTTTTGTACTTCATGTATGAGTTCTCTGTCACCACTTACAAGAAATATACGTATTTTTAATTCACTAGCATTCTGCGTTGGTTGTGCCTATTAAAGTATTAACTTATAAATCAATGACCTTTTATTATGACACTGACCCATTTATCAGTCCATTGTCCTGTACTACCATCACTAGTGTAATAGTATTGTGAGAGAGATACATGATTCTCATATCCAGACTTTATAGGCTGTAATTGTAATATTGTAAATGCACATGTTATTATAATTTAAAAATTTTTTTACATCAATTATGAGGTGGCCTGCTATATTGTCAGTTTTAACGCTTCCTTCAATGCTTTGTTTCTAAAAATGTCATTATGAATTATTTATCATGCAATTTCTTTACTATTCTATCCACATTCCATTCAATTGTTGGTTCAATATAACCAATCTGACCAATAACTTTCATAGAGTCCAAACAACTTGACAATTCTTGTACCTGTACAAACAATGAATGTAATAATAATAGCAAATTGACATTCTTACTTCGTGATCATCAACCAATATTTTAATGACACTGAGAATCCCATCATTGAGTTGAGAGTAAGCAAGCATGCTCTGTGTAGCTTCAGGTAAAGTCACTCGTCTATAATAACATGCAAAGTATAGAAGTGATACAAAACAGTTCATTAATACCTGTCTTCATATCTGATTATAGGGTTTTGATTTGATTTAGCCAATATTCTTTTTATCCTAAAAGAATATAATTATTTAATTAATTATTACAATGCATGCACTTACATTATAGCAGCAATCCTGTTCTTGCGTATATAATACAATTCCCTGAAGAGGGTGTGACGAGTTCTGAATAAATCATTGTATGTCTCTAAATCCTAAAAATAATATAAATATTCATAGTTGTTTTTATACAGTATAATTTAACGTCTTTTGGAAAACAAATATGTAATTCACCATCAGCACATGGCAAAACATGAACTTTGTTTAAAAAACTCTGTAAATATTGTAAATACAGTTTGTATGATTAATTTTACCTCCATCTAAAGGTGACATTCTTTCCCAATACAGCAGCATCTCTCACTGTACTGTCAATCATACTAACATCTAACCCACTCTTTTTATTATATACAATCTGATGTATTATTCAATTATTGTCTTACATTTGAACTATATCATACCTCATATAGGAATCTTTTGTCTTTACGTTGTTCCTGTAAATGTGCTGTAACTTTAAATATTTCAATTACACTATACCATATACTATAGATGTTTAATTAATAAATCAAAGGTGCACTCCAATTTTTAAATCCTTATACATCACTGACAAAGGTGATGTTTATGGTGGCTTCTTGTGGAGGCAGTATAAAATTTTTGGGGTTTTAAATTTTTTGGGTGATTTCTTATTAATTTCTTAGAAAATCCTCACTGTGCATGCACAGCAC